GGAATTGATCACACTGCATTGATCACTCAATTGATCACAGATGGATATGTGAATCAACTGACAGACTCAATATGGACTAATACATGAATAGTAACGATAATGATGACAATAATGCAAAAACAGAATGAATATGATTCATAAAATCCACCTCAATATGGACTGATGAATATGATTCATTAAAAAAAAATCCATATAATAATACACAAATTAATTCTGAACATCACAAAGATGGCTAGGTAAACGTTGGATCGGGTATCCGCGAGCAATTACGAGCTCTTAGGGGCCCACTCTGTCGCAGAGTTTCGAAGGCCCCTAACTGTAATCGTAAGCCCGCGATTCCACCCCAACCCAACCCTAGACAGATGAACAGATGGAATGGACAACGAGATCAGATCAAAATTGAGATCAGAAACCGACCAAAATCAGACATTTATTAGAGCAATCAACAAACTAATCCAATAATAAGTGCGACATGATTCTATTCAATGATAAATGAAAGGTGCTCGAAACTAGACCAGACTCATCAAATTCTAAACCACAATACCGATGGTTTTCGACGCGAAGGTCGTATCGCTGATGCCTTCTTAATCGCATCACAAACAAGAATCAGTAACACACTGATCTGATCACTGATCAGTTTGCCATTAAACAGTTCTCATCTCAAATCACATCTACAAATCAATAACAAATCAAATCAATCGATCAACAAACCATTTCCGAGCAGACTGAGAACATTCGGTTGACCACTCGACTGCAGTAATGTTGCCAATGCATTCAACTGTGTTCCTAATGTTGTGTTCGGCGCTGCTAACGATGCGTTTTGTGCGTTTTGGAGCAACTGGCAACAATAATCCTTTATAGCAATAATCATATTTATAATAAGTTGAACAGTTTGTGAATATTGCAAAGAAGTTGTCGATTTGTCTACTAGGCGAGCGAGACTCCCAAACGAAAATCAACCAACCTATGGGGACAGATCAGATGATGGTGGTGATAAAAAATGCTAAAATTCAGGAAAACAATAGTCAGCCACATATAGGATTTCTTCAGGAGATGGACGGAAAATGGCCTCCCTTCTCCCCTCCCCCCCCCACCCCCCCAAAAAAATAACTGAATTTTGAGATGAAGGATTTTTCAACACCTTCTTCATCCCCGCTACGTAACCTTTTTCCCACTTCCTTCTCCCCACCTTTTTTTTCCATTTTCTTTAAACCGACAGGAGGCAGCCTATGGCCGCGCTACATGGCCTAGAGCGAGTGCTTACACATACACATATCGATGATAGTGATAATAACCTGTTGAATAGAAGCAGCAATGTTAGTGGTATTTTGTACGGT